ACTAAGCCTCGAGTCCAAGTTGATGCCCAAGTCCCTTGGAAGTGCCAAAAGTTGCTTTCCAACCATTTTGTAAGCAACATTTCATTACAGTGTTGCACATTTGTAATGCTAAAAGGATAATACAGCTATCTAACATTTGCTGTTGTAGCTAGTATGTTGAATTATGCAAAAGAGAGAGATTTTCTGACAACCAAGTCACAAGTGGTCGAGTCCAATTGGTCGAGTCCAATTGCGACTTGAGTCTGAGTCAAGTCCGAGTCCTGGATCCAAGTACTACAGCACTGCTGCAGGGTGTTTGGCTCACCGTGGTCGTGTGCAAAGACAAGCAGGGAGTGCTCCTTCAGGGTCTGGCCGATCTCATCATACGGCCCACAATGCTCTCCTGCCCCATGTGCCACAAACACCAGAGCCCTGCAGGACACGAGGAAGAAGAGTGAAGTCAGTCACATTTCATGCACACCGCTTGTATTATATAAAAAAATTCAGAGGGAGTGTTGCAATTTGTTGATGAGGGCTCTCAGATTATTTTGATTGTCGCTAATCGAGTGGGTGATCTCTCTATCTGAAGGACGTGGTTGGGACTTGAGTTTCATCATAATAAAACATTCCACATCTGGTCTTCCAGTGAAAGCAGTTATCTGAACAGTGCCACACCCTTTTTTGCCCACAAAGCAGCAGGGTTAACTGGAACCAGACAAAGGAGGAATCTCCAATAACAGACACATAGCCATGGGAAAGAGCGGCGAACCAACCCAGCTTGCCAGTGTGGCTTTAGTTCCTGCTTATAACCAGTTTACAAAACTGAGTGAAGCTCTCAGTCAGTGGCAGTTAGTCTGAATGTGTTCAGAGAAGGAGAGTGAAAGGAAGAGAGTGAGAGAGATGGAAAAGAGGGAGCGAGTAACTGTTCATTAAGCTTCATTAGCAGTTTCTCTGTTCCAGTTTCTCTCTCTCTTTTTCATTCTCTCGTTCTTATTTCAGAGCCTCCGGCTAGCTAGAGATTACCGTGCACTTGTTGGCTGAGGAGTTGCTCAAAGAGCGCCTTTGTGTGAACATAATGTTCCCAACACACATGGGACAATAGGACTTCTATAGAGCCTATCTCAGTGGATTGTGATGAGTATATTCAGTGTCATGGGAGTGGGGAGTCGAAATTTTCCCTCCCTCTTTCTCTTCCTCCCTCTCTCTTTCTCTCCCACTCCCTCCCTCTCTCTTTCTATCTCTCCCTCTTCCTCTCTCTCCAAGGAATTTGAAACCCACTTGTCTCCCAGAATGTGGCTTAGACCCAAATGCTGCCTCTAGCCCGAAAGAACATAACGTTTTCGCACAGCATAAAACAAGGCAAGATGATAATCCTCTTTATGAGATGCAGACTGAACTCTGACTAGTCACTCTGTATGGCATATCAACCTGTACGTGTGTGGTCGAGGTAGGGAGAGGTAGATGTAAAGGTTGTGATGGGCCAGGGCCTGAACACTGGCATCTTAATCAGATTAAGGGACTGAGCCACCCAACACTCCTGGGTTAAAACCCTAACTAGACTGGGCTGGGGTCTGAGGACAGCACGGTGAATACTGCTACAACCAGAGCAGCCAAATGAGCACGTCTTGGTACAGATGTAGGATCTTAATTTGATCACCCTGTTGCAGGGAAACTTTCCTGCAATGCAGTAAATGTAAAACGTATAGTGTATTTGAGGTTTAAAAAGGCTTCTGAAGTTTGTAATTTCCACTTTGATCACGAAAGATGTATCAACCCTTACAAACATGTCCATTAATTATAATCTACATAATAATTACATGTCCTGTTGCTGCAGGATTATTTTCCTGCAGTAGCAAACTGCCTCAAATTAAGATCCTACAGCTGTGAATGAGTGAGTGAGAGAGTGAGTGAATGTGTGTGTGTGTGTGTGTGTGTGTGTGTGTGTGTGTGTGTGTGTGTGTGTGTGTGTGTATGTATGTGAGAGAAAGACTTGCAGAAAAAGTATGTAGAGTAATAGACAGTGAGAAAGCCAAAGAGAAGGAAAGTGAGAAAAAAAGCTGTAAGACAAACATTCAAGCCTGCCTTGTTTGGTAAGGAAATTCTTGCAAACCTGATTCCAAACATCAACATCAATTGTGTAATGCCCCACTTAACTATATGCAGACTGTGTGTGTGTGTGTGTGTGTGTGTGTGTGTGTGTGTGTGTGTGTGTGTGTGTGTGTGTGTGTGTGTGTGTGTGTGTGTGTGTGTGTGTGTGTGTGTGTGTGTGTGTGTGTGTGTGTGTAATTAATAATACATAATTTGGTGGGTGTTTATATTTGTCATATTTCACACATGTACTGTGTGTAAGGGATAATCAACGAAGGGCTATGCGTTCTCTGGAAAATAGTGCATAACGTGGAAGGTGTGTTGCATGACGCGTTAGCGGAATGGAACTGACCTTCCACAGAGTTATTATTTTCCAGAGAACGCATAGAGCCCTGAGTTGATTATCCCTTTTATACCATGGCTATAAATTAACATACTGTATTTGCCGCTAGAAATGTATTCATTTGCCAGTAGAAATGTGACAACATTCACTGAAGTAACTAGCAAGTTTACTAGCGAGCTAGATGGCTACAGTAGTTGCCTTGGTAACCAAATAAACAGACTTGCTAGCTTAGCTAACCAAACCATCATCCTAGCTTGCTATTATGAAAATCGAATTCAACAATGCCAATAATGTTTTCAATTCGAATTTTGCTTTAAAAAGCAGCTAAATAATAGAACATGGAATTATACCATGCAATTACACTGTGTGTTATAGGCAATTATACCCTGGCATTGTTGAATATTCCTTTCTGATTGGCTTGAAGGGCAGAGCGTGCATTATTTCCCTATAACACACAGTATATTTGCACGGCTATAGTACATTTGTACATGTTTTGTTTGAGCTGCTTTTGAAAGCAAAAGTCAAATTGAAAACAGTATTGGTATTGTTGAATTCGATGTTCATAATAGCAAGCTAGGACTGATGGCTTGGTTAGCTAAACTAACAATTCTGTTTGTTTGGTTACCAAGTAACTACTGTAGCTATTTAGTAAACTTGGTAGATGTTTAAGACATTTCTAGTGGCAAATGAACACATTTCTAGTGGCAAATGTGTTACATTATGATATAAAAGGGATAATCAACTCGGGGCTCTGTGCGTTCTCTGGAAAATAATGCAACTTCCACACCATTCATTATTTTCCACAGAACGAATAGCCCCTCCTTGATTATCCCTTACATAATGCACACTCTAGAATGCCATTCAAGCCAATCAGAAACGAGTATTCAACAATGCCATGGTATAAGTGTGTATTAACACGCATGTATGAATTGGAAATGTGTTTTATGCATATCCCAACTCTCCCTGAGACACCCTCGGAGAGTGGGGTCATGGCCAGGGTCTGCCATTATCAATCATGACCCTGGAGCAATTAGGTTTAAGTGCCTTGCTCAAGGACAGATTTTTCACCTTGTCAGCTCGGGATTTCGAACAAGCAACCTTTCGGTTACTGGCCCAACGCTCTAACCGCTAGTCTGTGTGTGTGTGTGCGTGTGTGTGGAGCCAGGGCCGTAGCCAGGGTCTTAGTTTTAGTGAGGTCCGGACAGGGGGTATTGGAAATTCTTCAAATGTCCAAGAAAGTTGAAGAAAGTTGAAGCTCATTTACAGCATTTCTATACAATAAAAAATTATAAAATGCTATTTGGAGAACAGCAACAACAAGCCATTATCACATTGGTTGCTGTAGCTTCATTCACCTCAGTCGATCTAGAAACACATGAGCCTATTAGCTATACCAGCGGTTCCCAAACTCGGGGTCGCGGCCACATGTGGGGTTGCCTGATATAAAAATGGGGTCGCGGGGGAATTTCCCAAATCCTGGAGAAAAAAAATATATATACAAAAATATATATATCATAATATCGTCTTTGTTTCTCAAAATCATTGTAATGTGGTTAACCTTAAAAATCTAAATGAAAATTATTCAAATCTAAAAGATACAATTCAACTAGAGAGCGCCCTTACATCATGGGAAAAGGCCGCACTTGACCGTTGCACTTGAATCATTCCCACGGTGAATGACTAGGCCCGCTACGCTATGAAACCACACACTATAGCAGAGTCTTTGATATTACTGGCTGCAGTTGATATGGTGAAAACAATGTGTGGGGAGCAGAGGCACAGAAACTCACATCAATACCTTTGTCAGATAACACTGTTAAACAAAGAATTTATGTTATTGCTAGCAATCAAGAGGAAACTCTGACTGAACGACTCAAAAACTCTGCAGCTTATGCTCTCCAAATGGACATTAGCTGTGAAGGCCGAGATGCCCATGCATTGACTTTTGTTTGCTATACATGTCGGCGAATGCTATTCACGAGGACATATTGTTCTGTCTCACAATTCCCGAGCATGAAACAGCACAGGGGATATTCAGTGTGCTGCGTGTCTATATTGACAAAAAACAGATTCCATGGGATCGAATGGTGGGGTTTTGCACAGATGGGGCTCCTATGGCAGGATGGCGGGCAAGCCTCTGCACTCCCTCCCTCTGCCATATGGACACATTGTATGATACACCGAGAGCAACTAGCGGCAAAAGAGCTGAGCACAGAACTCGGAGATGTACTGCAGCAGGTAACTTCGATTGTAAACTACATCAAACCACGTCCACTGCCGCACGCCTGTTTGCAAAACTATGTGGAGATATTGGATCAGAGCATGACAATGCTCTATTTCACACCGAGGCTTGGTGGTTGTCGAGGGGGAATGTTGGTAATATTTTTTGCATTGAAAGAGGAACTGTTGTCATTCACAATGGATGTAAAAAACCAGACTTGGTTGACTTTCTGTGTAATGAAAAGTTCAAAAGGCATCTGAGCTACCTTTGTTGCAGGTGCATGGTAACAGTTGAATAGCTCAGAGCTCTGACGAAGGCCTTGAGGCCGATACGTAAAGCTTAATAAAGAGCAGTGATACTAGCAAGAACAGTGTGCAGGTTTCTTCTTTTTTCTCATGTGTAATGAAAAGAAAATGTGTCTCCTTGCCTATATGTAACAGACATAGGATATACAAAAACATTCTACAGATGAGTGACCGAATCAGTCGATTCAGAGGAAATAATTCTTATTGGAGACAGAGTCTTTCAAAAGCCAACCATGCCCCTTCCCTCGGCTGTGCATGTTTCTAAACAGAAAACCGCATCAGTAAGTGTCCCACACGAGTGATGACTGCTCACCTCCAACGCTTGGAAGAGCACTTTGGGACCTACTTTCCAATCCATTTGACTGTGTTCCTTGCTCAGTTGACATGCCGGTAAGTGAAATCGAACAGCTGATGGAACTTTCATGTGACCAAATGCATTAATGGGTCACTACGGAGGAGTTTTGGTTCCTGACT